CATACGTACAGCATACATACAGCTTCTCGAAGTGAGCCTGGGGAGCTGCTAGTTTCCTTTCTTCCTCCCTGGGATGCAGTGACTTGCGGCAAGTTAGTTGCCATTGTCATCCAGGGGTGGTTTTAATTATCTTTTTGGGCCTCTGCAGATTTAACTCATCTTCTGCCACTTTGCCATACAAATCGGGCATCGGTCCAACATTCACTTTCAAACGCAGCTCTGGCAATCACTATCCTACCTGCTATGCACCTACCCCACTAGCCAACTCCTAGTTCAGCCAAACCCAGCAGCTGTCTCCACCTCGAGTCCAAGGACTTGATGGATATCCCTTTACTGCTGCTCAGCGGTTGCGTGTGGCTCCCCCCGTGATCTGCCAGGGTCTGGAGGCACAGTGGGATTTGAGATGGGTTGTGATGGGAAATGGAGGACTGGTACAGAGCAGAGAGGAGATCGGAAATGTAACTAAGACCATTCAGTTCTGCATGAGTATTCAAGAAAAAAATCTTATAAACATTTCAGGTAATAAATAAAGTTCTGACTTAGGAGGGAACCAGGAATTAGTAGCACATTTTAATGGTGATTTGTTTTTGTAGTTCTTTGAAATTTTTTCATTCATTCACACCATGTTATTTTGAAAGGTTATAAAAAAGAGCAATAGGTTTGTGAGCATCAATTAATATACCGCATTATACTACAATAAATGCTACATACTTGTATGTGTACTCATTTCTCATTGCCATAACAAATCCAGAGAAAGACTTAATGTTTTTGCAGATTCCAAGACACAGCATTTAGAAAGAATCACTGCAATGCTTCATACCATCTGCACCTGGGAAGCTCCTATTACTTAACTGGGACACAAGTCCAGCTCACAAACATACCAGCACTGGGGAGTAGGTGGAAATCTGGTGTTTAAATGCAGAGTATCTTTTTCATATCATCATGCCTTTACCAAGTAACTCCCCCGGCACCAGAGAAGTCTCTGAAATGCCTGAAGTTCTGCTCTGCACATGCAACAAAGCCATTTGGTCTTGACAGGGCTAAGTGCGTATCTCGCACCTAATCCCATCCGGATTCGCAGACAAAGCATTCCTCCTCCCCGGGGGACCTGGCTCTGGCAGAGCACGTGTAACTCGTGCTCACACAGACGGGGTCTGTACAAACCATGGTGGCACCAGAGCATGGTGGGGAAACGCCTGCAGGGAGACAGTGCAGTCAGCCCCATTTTGCAGAGTAGGTTGTTAGTCACGCAGGACTTGAGGGAGCTAGCACCCTCCATCTTCTTCATCTCTCTGCTTTAGGGAATTCACAACCACATCTCCCATCGCTGTGGTGTGTAGCTTACATAATATCAGGCATCCGAAGGACAGGGAGAAGTAGTCTTCTTTCCTTTGAAGATGCGCTAATCTGCATTGCACAATTCATTCCGTTCCTCTTTCCTTCTCCTGTGCCAGCACCAGAACAGCTTCTACCCACACATCACTATACAGAAGTTGGGAAGTAGAAATTTATCCTCCCTAATGAGCTAAATGAGGTCCCCAGAGCCTCATTTCTATAAAAAAAAAGAATGCATTTTTCAGGTTTTTATTGAAAAGATTTCTTTTCCACCACCACAATGCAGGAAGAGACTAGAAGCCATTGGGCTGGGCAGCCAGGTCCCTGGCAGACCTACACCACTGAGCTGCTTGCAGGGAAGTGAAGGGAGATTTTATTCCCTTGGGGGAAAGGGTGGGAAGGTTTTTAATCCTCTGATATGTCAGTCTGTCCTGAAGCAGTCAGTGAAGAGGCTTTGGAAAAGGTCCAAACTGGACTGCCCTGTTCAGGTTGTGTGAAGTGATGATGGACTTTTGATACTGGGTAAGGACGGTGAGTAGCTGCGCCTGTGTGCTTGGAAGTCAAGAAACACATGTCCTCAAAGGCACCAGCCCAGGATGCCACTTATGTGGGGCATCGCTAGCATGAGCTAGGGGCAGCTGGAGTCCCCAGGGAGTGAGTGCACACCAGATGCCTGTCCTTTTTGAGGACAAATCCTGCAGGCTGTGTGCAGCCACCTCCTCCACCACTCATCAGTACTGCCATCCCCTTGCTGAGACCCCTCGCCCTCCCTAGATTCCTTGTCTAGAGCTTGCTTTGACCATAGCATCTGAAAAATTAAGTCCTCGAAGTTCAGCCTGACCTCATGTACAGCCTTAGTGGAGCCAAGCCAAACCCATGGGAGGTGAGGGAGTCTTTGAATGTGCATCTGCATTGCTTAATGTAAAAGAACTGAGAGGCCCAAACCCATAGACCTATTAGTTGCTGTTTTAATAAGCAGTAGAACATAGGGTCCAAAAAAGCACAACTTCTGAGAGAGTCAAACCAAGTCTTCCTCCTTTACATGTCAGTACAGCCTGTCAAAGAAATCTAGTCCAATAAATATCTTAAGAGCCCAGGAACGGTACTGAAATGGAAAAAGTAGCTCCCTACGCTGGCAGTCAAACTGATGTTTCCTAGAACTCACACAGCTGATCAATAGGGTTGGTTTCGGGGAGGTACAATTTCTGGTAAAGAAAGAAAGTGCGGAAGTATGGTTCATGTGCCCAAGGCCTTAAACTCCCCTTACCCCACCCCCATAAAATTAACCACATAATTTGTAATCATTCATAACAGTTGGAATTGTCTTGACTTTTAAAAGACTTTTCTCATTAGACAACCCTTTATTCCTTGTAAAGCATATTATTGATCTTAATATGCAGAAAATGCCATAGCTAGCAACTCAGAATGTCTGTGCCATTTTTGCTAAACAATGAGAATTGATGAGGTTTGGCAGGACATTAAAATATTTAACATTATAGCTTTGACAAGGCTTTTATGTGTCTGTACTAATAGGAAAACCTTTTAACAGGAAAAATGTTTTTCTCTGCTCCACTAAAATCTCCAGTGAGGGCTGATTCTATTTGCATTAAACCCTATGGGAGATTTGTTACTGACTTCAAAGTCAATTCCAAGAGGAATTCCAGTTTGGAAAATGACGACTAGAAAAAAAATCTCAGCCTTTTAGTCACATGACTAATGCCATTTAAATTAACATTTCATTATACACCCTGACACTTCAGAAATTATCTGGGGCCAGGACATTTGGCTTTGCCCAGAGAAGTGGCACGTTACCAGCCTGAGCATGGTGGAAATGCCAACTTCTGCACCAACATGTCATCTGAAACATGTGAGCTGGACCAAGTGCTGCTCCCAGGGGAGCCACAGGCCTGTACCACATCCGTTGAAGAGTCTACTTTTGAGACACATTTTCTTTAATTTGTTTTTTTAACTGCCCAGATCTCTGCTCTCACTATCCAAACCTGACTTGCAGGGCTGAGCTCTGATATCTCAGCTGATTCTCTGTCTTTACAGCATTATGTGTAGGGTGCAGAGCTTGAAGAAAGTAGTACAGGAGTCAGCAGGATGTTCAAAAACCAGACCAATGCTACATGGAACATTACAAGACTTTAATAGGTAACTGTAACAGGGAAAGTGTATCTGGTTCAGTTCCTTGACTCAGCAAGGAGTACTTGCCAGCTGGCTAATTTGCCACATCCTGGCTCGTTGTGAGATCCTTAAGGGCTGTGGCAGAGCCCTGGCAAAATGGGACCATCTTCACCTTAGATCTGCAAGAGCATCTCCAGGGTGAGCCGGAGCCCTGCCTTGGGCTGGTGCATGCCGTCACCCAGCTCTGCAATGTGTGTGTCCTTGGACTGTGCATCTTTGCATTGAAGATGAAGGAGAATAATTATTTAGGCTAACTAGGCAGCCTAAAAGAAGATTGTGATGAAAAGGAGATTGTCCTTCAGTCTTGAACTGATGTGGGGGTACTCTGCTCCTATGGACACCTGAAGCATGAAGGTCATTCTTGACTGAATTTCTCTTAAAAACTCTAAGGGAGGAGCTCAGGGGCATGTTGAGGCCTCTTGTACCTTTGTAACATTAAACACAGCCCAGTACACTTCATTTTAACTATGGAGCTCAACCACAAGTTTTTTTGAGGTGGGCAATTTAATGACGAGCATCACGTTATTTGTGAAGATGAGATTTACTTTATCATCGGCAGTCTTCCCTTTACCCCCAGAAGGACAGCACCTCTTATAAATGTCAGCAGAAAAAGAACAAAATCTAAAATCGGTATCCTGTAATCATATTTATTCCTGTACACAACAAGCTCAAACGCTGGGATCTTTTAATAGCTTTTTCCATATTAGACTCTTTGTTTGGATGTGGTTTTCCTGATGTATCCTAGTAACATGTTTAGTTAATTTATATTGTGTGTATGTGTAGACAGATATACACACATCCATATGTATGCACACACATAGTCCTCATTAAGTAAGTGTTAAACCTCCCACAGCAAAATTGGGTTTGAAGGGCAATAGGGCTGAAAACTAGAAGTCTGTTCCCTCTGCAGAGTGGTACCACAGAGACTGCTCCGAGGAGGCGCGCACAGCCCCCAGCAGGGATCTGGAGCCCCCGCGCCTCTGGTGCGAAAGTTGCTCTGATGTGTGCACCCCAGGCAGGATTAAAATCCTTATTTATCACTGGGAGCAAAGCACCATGCTCACAAGCCCTCCAGAGGGGGTGGGCTCGTTGCCCACCTCTGCCCCAATCCCTCCCTTGCACATGCAGAGTCTGGAGCGCTTGGCCAGTCCCTTGGTAGCAGAGGGGTTGCTTGCACGTACACTGGTGGTGTGAGGACTTGATTCTAAAGTTGTTTGAGTATCTCAGCTGTTGCAAGACAAACTTCAACCCAGAAACAGTTGGTGGATGGTGAAAGAAGGAGTGATTCCACATATTGCACAGTAAAACACAAATATAACCTACTTGTCTGGTGTTAGGGGAAAACTATCTCTTGAAGGACTTGGTCTTGGTCATGTCTGTCTTTATTGAAACAAGTGAGAAATGGCTCCAGGGCTACAATATGCACTCTTGGAAAAGCCACACACTCCTTATCCTATTTTTTTTTTTTTTTTTCCCAGGACCACAAGTGGATCAAGCGAGTCCTGCACTGTCGTATTTACTGTATAGCAAAACTCCCTTCGAGGACGATTCTGCAGATCTAAGGACTGAGGAGTCAGGACTGGGAACTAAGGAAAGGACATGAATAATTTCTTTCACAGTTGGTTTAGAAAAAGCCAGCTTCTTTCTATAGTTGTGCCAAAACTAAGAGGAGATGGTCTGAGGTTAACAAACATGAGATAATTTTCATACCAAATGTGAAAAATGAGAAATTGCTTTAACATACAGTAACTTGCCATTAAAATATGATACGTGCTCCCTTCCAGATTTAAAATGAGACTTTATAAACTCTACTGTCTTTGATTTGTTAAGGCAACTTTATATTTATTTCTTAATTCATAAGTATGTGAGCAAACATAATAAAACTCTTGATGTTTTTATGATCTTGATTAGTGCTTCATTGTATAAGTATTTGGTTATTTAAGCATACACCAAATATTGCACTGTAAAATCTGTTGTGACTTATTCAGTAACTTTTGGAATTAGAAGAAAAAAGATGACAGGATTGCAAAAATGGTATTAATTTTATTTTATTTCATTTAATAAAAAACTCAGTTGGCTGCACAGTCCTTTGCTTTATATTCTTAATTATTGTGTATATATTTGAAGAAAAGTATCTGTTGCATATCATCTATCTAATGGTAAAAACTGATGCTGTTATTAATAAGTTACTGAGAAAAATAAACCTGCTTGCACTTTGATTTCTATCACTCCTGGTGAGTGATTCTTCTGGAATAAACATAGCTCTAACACATGTAAACAATGCAGGAAATTAATAACAAAATTCTTTGGATTTATTTCAGATGCCACATACTTTTTGTAAATATATGCGGCTTTCAATGATTTTCCAGTAAGTAATAAACTTTGCTCATTAACCTTCTCTTAAACTAAACATTTATTACTTTGTAAGTGTTATTTCAACTAAATCAAGTGGATGTTCTGGGTAAATTAATGCAAGAGATCTGTTCAACCAAAGAAGCAGGATAGCTTCTTTTGAGTTGGGAAACCTCTGAGCTTCTACTTAGACTTCAAAGGAATAAGATGCACAGAATGTGTTGATTTTTAATGTGAAAAATGTTGATAATATATTTTTAAAACTAAACTACTTTACCCTCATAAACTCAGTGGTAAAACACAGGAAAAATCCCACCAGCTAGACAGAGTTACATAAATCATGAACCTGGGGTTAGTAACTTTTCATAGAGTTGGTTTGGTGTGTCTTTTTTTTTACTACCAGCCACGATTAGTCAATATTTTCCTAGAGCGATGAGTGGGGTATCTTTTCTGGAAACAGGTAAGTGTACAATTTTAAGAATATAAGGACAAAAATATTTTGCATTTTCTGTACCAGAAGGAAAAAATACATACTAAGAAACATTCTGCTCTCATGATTGTCATGATATACTCTTGACTTCCAAAAAGTTGTTGGCACTGGCCTCTGTGGAGACTTTGGGCCCTTAGAAAACCCATTCTCGGGGATATGGGTGTGCAACTCATGATGTGAAAAAAGCCCTGCCATGCCACAGAGGTTTGGTGTGGGACACCACGGCGCCTTTGTTGCCCTTCCTTACCTGAGAAAACTAGGAGCAAACCCCTGGGGGGTCAACCAGGGGGACTGTGGGAACCAGCCTCTTCTCAGCCCAAACTTCTTGCGTTGGGGTTGGATTCAAGGAGGCCCCCTGTGCCACTGCTGCGTGCCCTCGGCTCACACGGGTGTCTGGCTGGTGTTGGCTCCTTTTCCACACAAGGGCCAGGAGGAGGTGGATGGTGGCATGGCGTGGGCATCTCTGCTTTCCGGGTGTTGCTAGCACACACGGGGGCTGCAGGCTCTGAGGCCCGTGGGCGGGATTTTGCTGCTCTGACCGTGTCAGATATCAGCGCATGGCTTAGTATTTAACATGAGTGCTAGGCTTCTGGATTTTATCTCTTAATGAGGCACAGGCTATCCTTGGGGGACAGTGAATCATCACATCACACGAGCTCGCAACCAGCAGTACTTATTTTAGGGATTGCACTGGTTAGGAGTCTACATGAAGCGACATTAGCTCTGATTACAGGAGTCAAGCACTAAAATCTACTAGCTCAGATATAAGAGTTATCGGTTTCTTTTGGTTTTATTTTGTTTGGTTCAATTGGATTTGCTTCAGACATGACTCATGGCCACTTCCTGCATCTCCATGATGGCTCCTGCAGAACCCTCAGCTGCGGAGCATGGCTTGCACCCACTTCAAACACAATGCAAGTTCTCATGTATATTTTTCATACTGAGTCTTCATCTAAGTTAAATGTGGCAGGCCAGAGGATATGCAGTACACGTCCTTGGTTCCCACAGTAGACTGAAAAGGGAACTACAAAGAAAAAAAAAAGGAAAAAAAAAAAAAAAAAAAGAAACAGAGAGAAAGAAAAAAAACTCTGGGCATATAAAGGAAGAAGACAAATTCCAAAAGTTTACAGGAAGCCAAGTTCTCCAGGCACAAGAAAAGTGACATTATCCAAACCAAGCCTTAACACAGCACAGAAATGTGATGAAGAGTAGGGCTGGTATTTTCAGTGAGGTTATAGACATATATATAAATACAATCAAATTGGGAACACATTCCAGGGATTAGAGAGATCTGTATAGCACTAGAAGAAAGAAGCAGCAGATGTAACTGCTAACAACAAAAGAAGGGATTTCTGGCTAAAGTTCAAGATATTCTTGCACCCAAGCCTATTGTTGCAAATGAATCTGGACACAGTAAATAATTTGTAGTGACTTGTAGATCCAACTTCTTTTTGTTGTTGATCATGAACTAGCTACCATTTACCAACATGCTGACTTTTATAAATGAGTTCCTTTAGAGCCATTCAGCAAATACGTAGCGCAGATGTATTTCCATCTAGGGAGTGTCACTGCTTTATTAAACCAAGACGCTACAGTGTCTGTGAGATGGGCAAGGACCGAAAAGCATTGGTGACTGAAACTGAGCAAAAAGTTCTGAGCCTTGATCAGCAGATTTCCAGCAGCAGAGAGGCACAAAGTCCTATGAAGTTGATCTTCAAACTTCAAAAAGGTTTGAGACATAATGCCTCATGTAATCTTCTCTTGATGAAGGAGGGGAGGTATCAGATGGAGAAGATGTTTGGTGGAGCAATGGCCTGGGAAACAAGACCTGACAGGATAATCCAACACTGATTTTAATTTCTTGTAGTCAGAGATCTCTGGCCATCTTAGCAGCAGGTATTAAACAAGTCATTAAAATTGGGCTACATAATTAGAAAATTTTGCCAGGTCAAGACAGGCATTAAAACAATGATAAATAAGTCACCTCAACTACCACACATATTTGAGAGCATCCTGAACACGAGAAGAGTACTCAGCCAAAATTAATTAATTTCCAAAATTAAGCTGGAAATAAGATCCATCTTGACAAGGCTCTTACTTTTAATGGTCACTAAGAAATGTCAACAGTGTTTTCAACATTATTAATTCAAGGTTCCTGTCTGTCTGTTGTGAAGACAAAAGCCTGATGGGTTAAGGAAACACGTAGAAATGTCATATTTAGGGTACACACATACTTCACAGGTCTACACAACAAATACCACAGTCTGACAACTTAAAACTAGTCAAAAATAGGAATGCCAATGCAGATGACAGTCCTCTGTCTTACTGCCTGCAACAAGGGGGTCTGTGTCTCATGTTATTCAGTGATCCTGAAGGACAGAAAGGGGTACCATATTGTCCCAGTGGGAGACAGAGAAACAAGTATCCTCTGTACATCATTATTTTTAAGGGACTGGCAGCAGCAGACCTTCTAGATCTGGGAGAAAAGGCACTGTGGGGTGGTGAGAGAGTGGAATTGCTCTGGTTCCCGGGATGGCTTTCCGTGCTGATGCTGTACCCAAGCTCAGGGCCTGCCCTGAGCCGGGCGGTCACCCCGGGGTCTGCACCCCCGCGGCCGCTGTCCTGTGGCCCTGTTAACCGCCCTTCTTGCCCTCGCTTGCTGCAAGACACTGTGTCATATCAGACTGAGCCCAAACAATAAGCTCAAGCTCTCATCTCCTTTACACTGGGGATGGCAGTAGATTAAACAATGAAAAAGCAAGATTATTTGTTCTATTTATTACTCAGAATGAAAGTCCCTCTTTGGCACACAATACTTTTATTTTTGTAAGATCCTGTTCTGTCAAACAAAAAAGGGGCAGATAAAGGAATCAATTTTATATATAGGTTTGCACCACCCTTTTAAAGTCTACATTCAAGTGTTTCTATTAATGATCCAGGATGCTAAACAATTTTTAATATCTTATTACAAAAGCTTTTAAGCTTGCTTTTAACAAAAGAAAAAGCTGTTTTAATATATGAAGCCTGAAAAATTGCCAACTATAAAAGAACATCACTCGTTCTTTTCTTTTTTTAATTATTTGAAATGCTTCTGAATTCCCAACATAGCTGTTGGGATCCAAGCTTATGATCTAAGAGAAAAGATATGTTCATTTAATTAAAGTAGCTTTTTACGTTTTTAAAAAAAGTTACTTTTAAAGTGTTCATATCGCTGTTTATGAGCTTTGGGAGAACAAGAGGCTCTGGGGATTGCTAATGACATACAGATAGCCATATGTTCCTCTCACCTCTGCTGTTATCCCTGGGCCTGGTTCTTCATTGCTTGTGCTATGTGCAAAGTAATAACAATCTATGTCTCTTTTATGGAGCTTTTCAATCTTTGATTGCAAAGCACTTAATGTTTATGTTGCAGATGGGAAACGGAGGCACGGGAGATGAGTTGAATTGCCCCATGGGTTCACAATGCAGATTATTGGCAAAGCTTGTCCCCAGGCAGTACCTTCCCAAGTGACCCGTGCTAGGTGTCAACCGCTATCATCTGAAACTGCTGACCCTTTTGCAGCCCATTGCTACTGCAGATGGCAAAAAATGGATAAACACATCCATTGATTTCAGTGATTTATACCTCATTGAGAAGACAGTCAGCCCCAGAGCATTCTCAGTATGATTAAAAAAGAGCAATAAGATATCATAATCTAACTGGTATTTAATAAGAGATCAGTTTGGCAGGTTCACCCCAGCTTCAAAAGACAAGTAAGTTCAGAGCAATGCTCTGGTCACTCTTTGGCAACTGCATATTGCAGCCACAGCATGCTAGCCGGCCACCCAGACCCATCAGCACTGAGTGCTCTTACGCGGAGCTAATTTTTTACCAACTGCATTGTCAAAGTAAATGGAAAACTGAATAAAAAAAGCCAAAGCCACACAACAACGTGAAGAAATTCATATAAAAGGATCTCTGGATCTCACCAGTCAAATGGTAAAACAGTTTGATTTTCTTCTCTTCCTCAAAAGTTAAACCATGCTGACCTCCCTCAGAGCCACAGATGTACTTACAAGGTCTAGCTCCGTGCCTAATTACCAGAGCGCTGTCTATGATGGGGCCTATTTTTAAATAACTTCCCTTCCATCTTTGAAATCAAAGGGAGAGTATGTGATGTAAAGAACAGCCTAGGTCCAGATAAAGTTTTAAAACTATAAGAGAGGAAGTAAATAACAAGTAAAGGAAGGGAAGGATGATCTAGTGGCCAAGATAAGGCTCATAAATTCTCCAGGTTTAAGTGCAGAGGAGTCATCAGAGTGTCAACTCTGCACATATTGTGGGCCACTAAATTTCACCCAGTCGGGCCTGCAATGAAGTCAGACTAACTACAGCATAAATGGTGCTGGTCCCTGCTTTATTTTGTCATAGCCTCAGTGAAAAACTAACCAAATCCTCACTGCAATGAAATAAAACTTTCAGGAATGGGGTTGGAAATACAGTGAAAGTAAACAAAAAGACTTTAATTGGAACCATCTGAGAGGAGAAGAACGTCAAGGTCAAAAC